GCGCGCGCGTGTGCGCGCGCCAGCCGTGCGCGAGAGGGGTGGTGGTGGGGGGGGGCCGCGCCTCCTCGGCGGGCGTGGGCGCGGCCCACTCGGCGGCCGCGCGCACGTCTTCCCCGATCGAGGACTCGCGCGCGAAGCCCTCGCGGCCCGAGTCAAGAACTGACTGCATGAAACGCAGCTTGGCCCCATCGCCGGCGCTTGCGCGCGCCCTCTTGGCCCAGCCGCCGGCGTCGCCCGCGCCGGCGCGGGCGGGTTTTGAGAGACGCGTCATCTCAGAACGCTGCGAGGCGTCGCGCGTCACGAGCTGGCACTGAATTGCGCGCGAGATGCAAGAGCACGCGCCGGCGCGGGAAACGAGAGAACGCGCCGGCCACAATTGTTCGACGTGAAGCACAAACGCGCCCGCGCTAGGTCCCGGCGGGCTCGTCTTGGCGAGCGGGCGGCCCGAAGCGGCCCGCTTCCCCGCGGCCCGAAGCCCGGGCTGTCGCGGGCGAACGGGCGGCGGCGCCTGCGGTGGCACACCATTCTCACCAGCGCGAGCGTTTCCACTTGGCGTTGCCCCATCCGCTCTCCGCCGGGCGCTTCCCCCACGACGTCTCGCCGCGGCTCCCGCTGCTGCCCGCGGCGGTCCACGCGCCGTCCGCGCCCTTGGCCCGCCGGGGGGGCGTGCCGCCGCCGCTCTTCGAGGGCTCGCTCGCGGGCTTAGCCGACCTGTCGGCGCGCGCGGCGAACAATCGCGCGGGCGCGTCGCCGCGGGCGGGCCTGTCGGCGCGGTCGCACGCCTGCTCGGCCACGGTCAGCAGCTCGCGGCAAACCTTCCGCGCCGCCACGTCTACCTGGCGGCGCGGGCAACGGGCCGCGGGCCCCTCGCCGCGCGCGCGCGGGAAAGGCGCGCGCCGCGAAGTCCGGCACTCCCGCGGCTGCTTTCTCGGCCCAGTCCTTGCGGCAGCTCTCGTCGTAGAGCATGCCCAAATGGGCTTTCCGGCCGCCCAGGCGCGCGTTCATGGCCACCTGCGCGGACGAAGCGGCGCGCGACAGCGTGGCACTGATGGCGCGCGCGGGGGCGCCCTCATGCGTAACTCGCAGGAAGCCGAAAGGCCGCGTTGCGAAGCACACTGCGCCGAACGCGCGCGGGGTACGCATCGATGGCCATGCGCCACTCGTTCCATGTCAGCGCGTTGGCGCCGGCGGCGGGGGGCGCGTCCAACGGCGACCAATCGCGCAAGTCCGCGCACACGAAAGGGTTGGCCACCCCTTTCTTCTTCAGCTTCGCGACCTCGCCCGCAAGGGCGTCGACGCGCGCGCTCCTGACACCGCCGCGCAGACGTCGCGTCCGATCCAGCAAGCGGGTTCCGCGGACTCGCCTGGGCCACAATGCCGGCGGGAGATCGTCGAGCTTGATCTCTTTCAGCCGTTGCCCCACGTCCACGTGGACGACTGGGGTCTCTTGAGCAGGCGGGAAAGTTCGCCTATCGCGTCGCCCCCATTAGCGGGGCCCGCGCCGCCCGGCGCCCTGCCCTCGTGCGCCAGCGGGGCAAAGCGCTTCTTTGCGACCTGCGCAGGGCTCGCCGCGCGGCGTCGCGGCGCCACCGGGGCGAAAGCGCGCCGCGGCCTCGATGGCGTCAGCGAGAGCGTGCCTCTCCCCTGCGCTGGGGCGCGGATCAAGCTCGTCAAGCGCGACGGATGCGAGCGCGCGGGGGGTCCACACCTGCCACGGCCGCGCGCGCGCGCGCCGCCGACCCGCGCGGCAGGACGCGAGGGCGGGCTCGCCTCGGCGCGGCCAAGAATCGCCACGAGGTCATTGAGGAACGCTTCCTTGTCTGGGCAGCCCTGCGGAGCAGGCGCCTCGGCAGTCAGAAACCAGCGCAACTCCTCCGCCATTGTCAGCGCGCCCGAATCGCGTCGCCCCCTGTCGCGACCGCCCCTGCTGCTGCACTGGCGCGCTTCAAATGCGGCGGAGCAACGCAGCGCCCGCGCGGGCGCGCGCGCGCCGAGCACGTACGGGCACGAACGAGCGCAGAGGCAATTGCAAAAGCAATAATGGCATTTTACCCGCGGACCCGTCGGCCGCTACG